TCCGTTCATCGATTGCCAGTTAATCTCTAGGATGTTTCGACAGATCAGATGGAAGACCTAAACCTTGAGCAGTGATCATCTGGGGTTCAGTGAGCATCGAGGGTTGATGGGATTATTACCAGATATAGTGATTTAACAGTGGCATGCGACACTTCCCAATGACATGTTCATTCAGGACAGATTAGTTAACAGTGCAGGGTTAGAGGTCATTATGTTTTAATTAGCCTCTGACCCCACCGCAATTACCTCTGTCAGTGATCACACACCAGCGGGTACATTTCTTAAAGGAGTGATAATGGGAATTTAAGCAAACCACCCCTGCAGGACAAAATCCTGTCGAAAAACAGATGCAGACACAGTATAGTGTGGAAGTCCGCTCAGTTGAAATGGTAGGGGTTAGGCTACTCTTTTGTTACTTTGTTGGTCTTGGGGACGACTTGATCCTTTTGCATGGACTTCCATCCTATCTGGAGGGATGTGTAACTGTGACTGTGTTAAACCCTTTTAATACTGGGGGCAGCATCACTTTCTTCCAGCAGTATTGACTCTGAAGCATCTGTGTCTGTTTGAAGGACCATCCGCTGCTGTTTGACAGTTTTCCACATCATTAAGCTTCCCCACTGCCCTAATGATCATCAGGCCATTGTTTAGGTGAACCTCGGTGCTCTCAGGGGCTGTCTCCAGTCAGCCAGCCTATGGGGGCTCATGACAGAAACCCCTCCCCTCTGCCTTCTGCCCTCTGACCCCCTCTCCCCAGATTGTGGTATGATTTTCAGTTCATAACAAAACAGACCACTGGTAGTTCATTGCATTGCACATATTGCTGTTTGTAAAAAGTAGTGCTTTTCAGTAAAATACTTAGTTTTACATTTATAAATGTTTTAGCTTAACTCAGCTTTGTTGGGCTGACAGTATTCTTGCTTTCAAGAGTCAACAACACAGAGGAGCACAACTCATTTCATCCATTGATACTGCAGCATATAATAAGACTGTGAACCACAAAGGCTGCTTTGTTCTACTCAGTTTGCAGTGCAGTGTTCTCTAAATCTACAGAAAACTCTTCACATGTTCATGTCTTTCTGTTCACCCCATTAATTGCATCCATGATTCCGGCATGATGAGTACAGCGCAAATTAACAAGCAGCAGCTTTACTTGAAAGCCTAGAGGTTATTGCCGTACAAGGAGTACGGTGGAATGATCACGCATTTAGTTGCACAAGCATTAGTTTTAACGATTGCTCCCATTTTGAAGCAGTGACAAACTGCAAGCTGGCTGAATCCTGAGGCGGAAACCAATCAGGAAATTAATGGGGAGGTAAGTGACTTAAATCTGTTGCTTCCTAATTGCATCAATAGTAGACACCAAGGGGGACAGGTGACTAGCAGGGATTAGCTCTTTATGTATCTCGTGTTCATGTAAACCATTTGAGACGAAAATAATCAACTGTTCATTTGACCATATGCCTCCAGATAGTTATCTCTATTAAACATAGAAAGAAATGCAACAATTTCCCATGTCAGATAGTTCAGCCAATCAGTCATTTGGCATCTGTTTATCCATGTTTGAAATTGTATTAAAATTTATTAAAATCAGGATGGTATAGGTATTACCTTTGCCACACAACTCCAGTGTTGGGCATTTGCCTGTTCACTTTCGTTTTGTATGTGTGTCTGTGGATTATGTTTATATTACATTGTGGAGACCAAGTGTCCCCCACAGTGTTATACAAGCCTGTTATTTTGACATTGGAGAGTCCCCACAAAGATATAATTATAAACCTATGTGTGTGTGTGTGTACACACCCTGCTCTGAACTAGCATTACATCCAACTAGTTTGGATGTGATCTTCATTAATTCAATACTTTCTTTCTTCCTATTGACCAGTTTTTTCTTAGATTCTTTGAAATCACTGTACAGTTCCTCTGACTCTTTGTCAGTAATGTCCACCATCTCTCAAATTGGTTCCTGATGTCTAGTAATTATTTGGGATTTGATAACCTTGTTCCTTTTCCACTTCACTTAGAGCTTGGGCCTAAACTCTCAGTCTCTATCACAATCTGCCTGAGGCAGTGTCATTGCTATCTTGTGACACTTTCTCTGTATCTTCCGATTTCCTTTTCCAGCATGGTAATATTCCAAATACGCTCTGATCTCTTTGTGTAATATGCATCCATAAGGTTTCCTTGGTAAGCTGGCAGTCGATATGTTGAAATTATTTTGTTGTAGGAGTCACTTAATTATCTGATGATCTGGAAATAAAATGACATAAAATACTAAGATAAAATGTAAATTATGAGAGAATGGGGTGTATTTTTAAGTTTTTGTGTTTGGTAGATAATTGATAGTATATGTTTTTGTTTTTAATGCAAATCCAAGATAGAAGATCCTACAGTTGAATAGCCTTTGTTGGGGGGAGGGGGTTGTGTTAAGGATTTTTGCTTCGTTGGATAATCTGATTTAAAAATCACAAATGTTTTGCCAAGGATTGAGAATACCATCCATGGGTTGTTAACGTATTTCCATATTCAGTTTTTGCATTCAAAATTCTTCTAAACATTACAAATAAAAATTGCAAATGAATAATTCATTTTCAAGGATATACTATAAAATTGTTTATGTCACCCTTATGTTGCATATACAGTCGACCCTTAAGCACTGTGACTCTCCCCATTGCTGTTTTAAAATATTTTGGGGTCGTCATAAGAAATGATGTGGGATTTTTTTGGGAGTTTTGCAAATGCCGTACATGACAAGTGAAGGCCAGCAGACGACACGCAGAAAGCTTAGTGACTCATAAATGCCCCCGTGATGTGGAAGGGTTGACTGTACAGTGCTAGTCAGAAGTCTGGACACACTTGCTGAAAATGATTTATGTCCATTTCCTCCAGGCCATTAACTTATCTGGTGAATAACATGGCTAAAATAGAGACAAATGCATTATAAGTCGGTATTTCCTGACTTTTGACTGATACTATATATAAATGAAATTCTGTTATGTTGGTACTTTTTCCTTTTACATAGTCCCTCCAAAATTAAATTTTAAATTAAATATAGGTATGTATATATCCCCTGAGCAACTTAAAAGCCAAAAGTAGCAAAACTTATGAAGTGTAGTTGTAATTGACACTAATTAATCTGTATTGTATAATGAATTTCTTATTTGTATGTTTTCCCACCAAGATGAAGTTTTGGTACTTATGCAGAGCAGATACAGTGATGGAGGTCATGGTGCTCAAGCAGCTTTGAGCAGCTCTGTAATTGCCGTTAGGTCCATCTAGCTTTCTCTGCCGTAGGTGACTGTTACTACGACAAAACAGCAGCAAGCCAATTTATGGCTTGTTTAAAAGATAACAAAATAATCTTTGTGAACATAGTAAACAACTCCCGACACTCGCATGTGAAAGACTGTCCCAGCATTGCATGTATATTGCCTTTTTATCGCAGATGAGGTTGGTGCCGTCATTGGGGGCAGGATTTTACAGAGGAAGCCAAGATATTGGAATTAATTTTATACTGGTTTGATTTAGGCTAATGTGGTTATTTTGCCAGTTTCTGCTGATTACAATGTTAATAACTTAAGCAAACATGCATTGATTCTGTTAAGACCACAAATGGAGTCCATGCATTTTTATGTTTATTTGTAAAGTTCAGCATTTTCATTATATCGTTTTGCACATGTTGGCATCCCGTGTCACCTTCCTCGTTTCCCGTGCTGTCGGGGACGGGATTGGCCCCAGGCTCACTGCCATCTTGTACTGGATAAATAGTTAAAGAAAGTTAATGGGTTGATGGATGGGTTTTGTACTTCCAAGGTTACTATGGTTCATTTTTATTTATCTGTATATTTAAACTTGTTTTATTTGTCTAAATATTATTCTATGTATGATGCCCAGATTTAAATATTATTTATATGCATACATGCATATACATACATACATATACACACATGCACACACTCCTCACTTAACGACCGAGTTCCATTCCTATGACTATAGGTCGTTAAGTGAATTGGTTGATAAGAGAAGAGCCACCCCTTACCGATATTTCAGGGGTACTGTACTGGTAGTGGATTTGTGTCAACCATCTTTATTTATTGTTTTAATGTCAACTTTGCACCATTTATAGCATTTTTAGTATGTTTTTAAATGTTTATAATGTAGTATACTGTACACTGTAATAAGTATTGTACTGTTCCCGCTACGTGTTTTCTCTGTATGTGAGAAAAACTGTAATAAACAAAACACAGAAAAGACTTAGGAGATCTTTTATCCAACATAGCAAAATTACAACAAGCTGCTACTTTTAATCATCAATGGAATTTCAAATAAATAATATGCTAACATATATAGGCATGTATTGCCAATTAGCATCACTGCAATCCAGTGAATCACTGTTAGCATCCTTTCGCACAATACCAAATACTTTGCTTTCAAAAACAAGATACAGGGAAACTTTAACGTTACACACATGTATGCTTTGCGTACTACTGGAGGTTCCTGCTCCCACAATACAAAGCATATGCATCAAACTAAAGGCAACGTATCGAAATAGTCAATGTAAACTGATGTGGGATATCAAAATAAAGGTCAATTGCTGCAAACAATATAAAACCTTCCTTTGCCAACCCAAATAAATCAGAGACCAGAACAAACCGAATAGATTAGAAAGGCCGCGCTGCCATTTCCACAAGCAAAGTTCTCGTATGGCGTACAATACCGACTGGTCAGCGAGCTGGTCATGAGTCCAGGCAGTGGGTAAACAGGTAGGTTGTTAAGTTAGGAGTGTTTGTGTGTGTGTGTGTGTGTGTGTGTGTAATGCCCCCGAGTACCTGACAGCTTGTCTCTTATTCCCCTTCATCTTAACCACAGTTTGAGGGCTAGGAGATGTTGTGGTATCAGTGTTGCATGAGTTACCCTTGATCCATCATTACCTGCAGAAGTGCTTAGATCCAGCATGTGTTCGCTGAATGTGGCCGTGTTGATGTCCTGTGTTACTGCAGTGTTTCCACATGGCAGCATCAATGACTCTGGCCCAGCTTACCTGTCCATCAATTCCCTGGTGACTTCTGAGGCAAAGCAGGAGTGCAACAGCAGTTCTGAGTCAGGAGCCTTCGCTGTGGACTCGGTCATTCAGGGGACTGGTGAATGAAGCGCTAAGGGAAGAAGAGAAGTGCTAGAGTCTAATTATTTCCTGATCAAAAATACTACTGTCAGTTCCTGAGTATAGCACTTGCCTTAAGGGGTTTCTCAGTTTTTTTGTTACATTGTTACATTATTGTTTCTATTTACTTAATCTGATGAAACCTTTTTTATGCTTGGGAAGGAACAGAATATGAGTATTTTGAATCAGCTGTATAAAAGTTACAAATTATAGTTTTAAATACCACTGTTGATAATGATTCTTTCTAAAACATTTTATTTCATTGACATACTAACCAGGTCAATTCAGGGAATGCTTTTTTGTAACATTTATGTAAATGTTGACTAAAAAAGATTTTTTTCCAATGCATGAACAGCAGTCAAAAGAATCATCAGCGGTCAATGCCAATTGAAATGTATTCAGACTTTCAATGCTATTGTCACAAGCAATGTTTTGTTTTGTATGTGACACACTGCATACCCTGCTGAGGTTTGTTTATATCTGCATCACTCAAACTGAATTTTATTAACAAAGGCATTTTCAGGTTTTTTTGTGTTGAAGTTCATGTTCATGCACTTACTGTTTTCCTCTTATGGATCATAATTCTTAATACTTTTCAAAAGTGCAATGCTAAGATTTTTATCTTGAACCTTTGATTACATAGTTTTACTATTTTTAGTGTATAAATACACAACTTTGCTTCAATTTGGTATAATTTTTCCAACTTGTCTTCTGATAAAATTAATATGTCCGCTTCTTATTATGAACTAGGTTGGAAAATATGGACTAATAATTGTAAGTAATTAGCTATATATCCTAAGTAAGTTGTATTTTAGAAGGATTTCTTTGCTGGCCATTCCAGATTTAGTAGGGTCACCTCACTTGTGAAAAGGTAGGCTACATTCTGGCAGTATAATTTAGTTCAAGATGCTTGCAAACACCTTGTCATAAAGTATCCTGCTTGCATTGTCATTGAAGGACCAACCCCTGATAGTGTACAGTTCAGTGATAACATGAGTAGCGACTTCACTCAGATTAGTTTTATAAAAATAATCACATGCATGCTTACTTACTTTTTTGTTGTGAATGGGTCTGTTTTTATGGACATTTATAATGCAGTTGTGTGCTCTTGTGTGCTTTGGTTACATAAACCACAGGTAATTAACAAAATACATCTATCTGTTTTCATTATCCTAGAAGGCTTGTTTCAATGGTTTTAAATAAAGCAATGTTTAATGTTCAACTGTGTTTTGTAACTGCAGAGTTTGTCAAAATAAAAATGTATTTGTTTGTTTTGGGATGTTTTTATGAACTGGAGAAGAAAACAACTTGTATTCTCTTTGCTGTGTGCTTTTAAAACATCAGTTTGTTTTAGACCCATCTGTTGTAATCAATAACCTTACCATCTTGTTTTTTATTAAATCCACTTACTCTTAATTTCATCCACCAGTGGTTTTAGAGAGAATAATGTGGTTACCTATATAGGTTTGACATTATAAATCATTTCTTGAGACTGGATTGTAGGGCAATATTGATTGATCCTGATATATCACAGAAATTTACTGTCACTTCTGTTTTCAATTAAAGATACAATCAGTCAGATAATGACTTAATTTGATTTTACGGAAGATTGAGTTTTATCGCGTGTGGCTTTATGTTTATTTAAGGAAGACAGTTTTATTATAGTTGTCACGTACTTCCTCTGAAGTGCTGGATTCTTCTATTGTTTCACCCAGCCTATGTATAAGTTCACGATATAGTGTCACTAGATTATTTTTTTCTCTTTTCACCTGCTGGGCAATGAATCATGTTTCGTGCACTGCAGATAAAGCCGAATCCATCCCATAGACAGCACCCCGAAAGCTTGCTGACATAATGGTAAATATAAGCACTGTTGACAGTGCGAGTTTGATGGTGACCGTCTTTTCATTCTATAGGGTTGTACATTAAACACTATTTTGTTCTGAGTAGAGCTCACTATAGATCAAATAGACCTTTAAATGTTAATAACCGGAAAACACATTAAGGCCATCATCAAATTCTTAAAATAGCCATACAATTCCTTAAACGTTTATGTGTTTAATACACTTATTATTATTATTATTTTTTTATCACAAACCGGTATGCCTATAGAAACTATAGTGGATGATTGCTTATAATAAATCAGTCCCTATATTGCTGCGCTTGCCTATGCGGCGACCTTGAATAACGTTTCACCTTAAGTTTGTTTCAATTTTAATTGAGGTCAGTGAAGCTCAGAAAAACGTTTTTTTTTTTTTTTTTTTACTTCAGTTTGACCTTATTGCTGCATTGAGTTAGCTGAAGAGTAAATGAAAGTTTACCAAACTTTTACAAATTTCGCGGTACTTATTCTGGATGGGCTGTCGTAATTGCTGCTGCCTTCAGAGCTTTTACACGTTCTAGTGCGTAGCAGGTGCTGTTCGCCGCCAGCATATTATTAATGCGCAGTCTGCATATATTAAAGTGATCCCCACAAATGAAAATAGGAATCACCGTTAGTACCTTAATGGGGTTTATTTTACATGCCCATAAACACCCAGAGGCCAAAATAGTTTTAAGGTGAAAGGAGACATTGCTAATTTGAATTGTTTACTAGGACAGCAATCCGAACCATTATTCCATAAATTGCATTATATTTATGCAGTTATAATGTAAATCTGAAAAGGATTTATGAATTTATTAAAATTTTAGAATAAGGTGTCAGTATATACCCACCAGGCCTGCGGGGGTTTCGTTAGCCATGGTCTTAAACTTTTTGATGGTCGTGTCGGTTAAAAAGCCAAACTCTTCCTAGTTCAGTTACTTGGTTTGGAATGTTGTTAAGGTAGTGAATATTTTACTGTTATTTTCCTTAGGCTATATCATGGATCTCTTGGAATCCAAATTAGAAACGTTTCATTCTTTTTATTAAAGCATTTTGCAATATAGTCTCCGGCTAATGCAAAATTAAGCTCCTAATTTGCGGCTTCATCGGAGTCTTTCTCTCTCATCACTTTTTTGTGGGTGCGGGGTCTATAGAAATCAGCGTTATTCCATGCGAAACTCGTTATCATTTACTGCACCCAGCGTCTAACACTGGTTTTCCATTTCATAGGCCTGCCGCCCCTCGACAGGGCGGTGCCAGTCGCTGGTACACAGGTCCCTGTTGGGGTCTATTTATAGGCTTATATAAATGTATAAAATGTCACCATCCTGCCTACTAGTCGATTGTTCAGGTCTGGCAATCCACTCACCTCAGGCTTCGTTAACATATTATGTTTAATGTAATTATGATTTTTTATTTATTTGTTTTGTTGTAAGTTTTAATCGAATTAAAAACTTAGATGCTCCTTTGATCGTGTTCTTGATTTTTATATCGAATGCGTATTAAATTAGTGTTAAAAAGGTTAGTGAAGACTGTTGGGTAGTTTCTTTTTCTATGTTTTAACGAACGAGCAGAATTATTTTGACTACTACGAGTTATCCTGGACCGTTCATCTGATTTTTCTCATTTTGGATCTAAGCACCGGTCCGAATGAACATTTTTTTTAATGAATTGTGTTTGAGGTTTATTTTAATAGAATGCATGTTTATTTGTCTGTATTTTGTCCAGCGAAGCCTTGGTAGGGTGCATGGAATTGCAAAAACAAAACATTACCTCAAAAAATGTTAGACGATTAACCTTATGGCTGAAAGGACATATGGGTTTGGAAATGCAGCGCGATTCTTCGGTTTGTGCTGAGAATGTGGGGGCTGTCATGTGTGTAGCTTGTCACAGCTTTCTGTTACAACAATTAAGGAGCAAAAGGAAATTTCACAGGGCAGATGTCCAGCAATAATTCACTTTCTTGAAACACACCGGTAACACCCATTTTAATTTATCTGCTCACCACTGTCTCAAACAAAACAATTATTTTCCTTCTAGCATTACCCTTAAGCTTACTAATGTATTCTTTATCATAGAACAATATAATTATTAAATAATATTAGGCCTATAGTTTTTCACACAACTTTAACAAGACATGAAATACTTGTGCAATGCACTGAAAACCATACTGGCAGTGTTTATGAAACAGGCGTCATGAATAAATTAACATGCAATACACTTGCAGCTTGTTTGTTTATTCATTTGTTTGTTTGTTTTTTTGTTCAACGATATTCCACATATTTTACTTAGATAAAATTATTATGGTTGAACCCCAATCCGCAAATCAGATTTTCTCAGTCCAACTGAACAGCGAGGTAACTGGCTGGCTGGTTTGCTCATTATATGTCAGGGAAAATATTTTATACCTCTCGGTTATATGAAGAACTATAGGCCTATATATACTTACATGTATATTATGTACTTATGTATGCTTTATATATATTATTTTTATGTGGATAGTCTGTATACAGAGGGTATAGAGTATTTGAAACATTTCAAAAACGTTGAAATTCAACAATTAATATATCATCGATTGAGTGAGTAGTCAAATTCAATTAAATTATTCTAAGAATATGTAGGTATGTCCATAAATCGTTACATATATTCTCTATACGGTGTATTCTGTTAAACATCCACAGACAGCGAAACAGCTGAATTGCTGTTAAATCTCAGCTAAGTTGTTGAAATGCTACAAATACTCTGTAGGCGGACTATTCCCAATAAAATGTTACCTTATTTTCTTTTTCAATGAAATTTAAATTCCAGTATAACATTTTGAATCCGTTTCTGTACAAATTGTTTATATTAAATAGGCCTAACTATACATAAGATATGCTTAAAATATTAAGATTGGCATAAAAGCCGAAAAAAAGTCAATCACTGATTGCTACTCACCAGCGTCATACACATCTGTGAAAATAGCAATAAGAGAATAACAGCGTCATTATAGCCCTCTTTTTACGAAAACTGTATTTTAGGGAAAACCAAGCCAAACACTGTTACACTATATGGCCAGTTGCCGTTCGAAAGTTGCCTATAGGAAAAAGGATCCCCTCTAATAATGGTGATATGAAGCATAACCATTTATTATGCAGAATTGGTCCCTACATGTCCCCTGCAATCTCACACTCCCACCTGCAAATTTACTCGCCATGTGCAAAATTCGAGAACATTATAGTCACGTTAAATATTCCTGTGCTATTTTCCAATTAAAAGATTAATAGCCCTGGAAACGGAGTTCATGTGGTGAAGTTTACCATTATGGTTCCTATTCTTAAAGGCGTTATGCTAGGATCCCATTATTTGCTTGAATAAACCTTTTTAATGAGCGAAATGGGACTTGCAGTTTAGTTGTAGTGTTTTAATATGGTGAGGGTTAAGGACATTTCAGCATCAAACAAACACCTTTTTTCATCATACATGTTGTCAAACAATGAAAGATCCAAAGGCCAGCTACCGTTTAGCTCCCCATAATATTACAAACCTATATCGGTAATGTATATAACAGTTAGCCTATGGAAAATTAAATCGCAATTTCTGTTATAGACAGCTAAGGTAAAAAATAATTCCATATACAAATATGTTGTAAAGGATATCACTTACTTATAAGTATAATTAGATGAAATATTGGAGACGGTTAGTTAACAACAAAATTAATTTACATTTCTTTCACATAATTACTGTTGATTAATAGGCACAATGAGCTACGTCTAGCATGCAAGAGACTGCAGTTGTTCACATCTGATTTCAAATGTCCACATCACACGAATTTGCAGCTAACAGGATAAAACAAAATGCTACATCATATGCGCTTTTTAAATTCATATTCGAATTTGCAATAACTACCCTTATTAGGTTATTACAGCGCAATGTTTCTAATTCCAGATTAATAGGTGGTCGGCGTTATAAATCACGGCGATTAAATGTATTTACAAAACGTACACTGATTAACTCTTAGTCAGCCCTTCGTGGACGTTCATTTATTGAACAGGATCCTTTAATTCGAGTATTAGGAGGCCTGGAAGCTTGAAAGGCTGTCAAAGACCAGCCAGTTATGAGGCCTATAACACCTCAGTCGAGATTAAGGAATAATATGCTACAATGTATATATTAAAATTAAAATTCAACTTAAAATCTGTAAATTTAATACATGATATGTTATAATCAAGACATTGTTTTTGACAGAAATCATTTTAAGCTTAGACCCTGGGCGACAACAATACAATCTAAAAAGAAAGAAAGAAAGTATGAATAATGAATGAATGAATGAATGAATGAAAAACCTATTTCAAACTTTCTTCGTGAATATTGTTATCTGTATGAGCTGGGGTTTCTGTGACTCTTCAGAATGTATTGAAAAGAATGCTGAGTCTATAAATCTCGGTAATATACACCAGGTAGGTGTGCTTTGACGACTAACAGACCGTAGCAATTGCGATAACCAGTTACAATGCACATGACAACTGCTGTGGATTGGGGTTGGATTCTTCAACATAAACAACGGCTGTTTGAAACACTCCCTTTAATGGATTCGTAATCATTCGCCATAAAGGAAGAGAGGAGGAGCAATCCTTGGTATATCACTGTGATCTGGTCTGCGAATGACACTCTGGAAAGTGAGATGTTTAGTAACTCGGGTCTATTAACGTTTGTTATAACGTCTGACGTTCTGCTGTATCACTAGAAAACCG